CGAATGTCTTCTTAGGGACGTAAAAGAAGAAAGAACAATTTCTCTTGAAAAATGATGAATGCTTGTCAGAAAAAAACATTTGGATAATTGAAGCTCGAGTTTTATTCATGACACCATCTGTCATACCTAACAACAGTAACCGTATATATGTTTGTGTCTACGATATATACTTGCGATGTTACTACATTTTCCAACGCATTTCTTACGATACTCTATACGGACTATACAGATCCTGTGCTAATAATAAACGGCTATGACATTGAGCATTTATTCACTGCACGTAAGATTGATTGCCTCCGTGCGGAATTCAACATTGCGACCCTCCATTCACGCGAGCAATCATGTAATTGACTTGCTATTGTTATTAAATCAACCTTCATACTAACTCGAGTAAAACTAACGAAATTATTCGTATGCTCGCGAATTATTTATATCCTTATTTTCTAACTACCTGTAGAGCATTGCATGTGTGCGAAACTGTTTAAAATATTTAATTAATACAGTTTTTGTAATCAACACCGTTGAACGCATCGACCGCTTAGCTTAGTTGATAAACCGTCTGGGTGTGAAACCAGGAAGACGCAGATTCGTATCCTGCAGCGCCGAAAAGTTTGTTCATTTATCTACAAAAACATATAACTTTGATTTAATAAATCGACCAGAAATTGGACAAGAAGTCACGCGGGAATTAAACTATGACGTCTTCCTAGCTTTACAGCAGCAGAAACTGAACAAAGAAGAATGTTTGAAAAGGTGTTATGTCAATTAAAGTACACAACGGTAAACAAGGAAAAAAATGTTTAATCTTTTGCTGGTGCAAGTAAAAAAAACGTTGCTGTAGCCGTAGCTTTCTCGGACATAGTCGCCGCGCTGCTATCCGGATGCCAACCCGCGCAATCAGTACTGAAATAACCTTTAAGTGAGTTCCTCAAAGAAAAAGAACACGACATTGTTAAACGCAGTTTAATAGGGAAAATCACGCAGTTTAATAGGGAAAATCACGGAGTTTAATAGGGAAAATCTTTGGAACTGGAATAGAAAAATCGTTGACTAGAGTGTAATGAGGTAAATGCTACTTTGTTCACAATTTAGAGTGCCCTAATTTGTGTCAGGACTGATGTCTGTTGATTTCGCAAAGATGCTTTTATCATGCTTATGAATTGTGTAGTATTAATAGTGATACAAAAATCATTGATTCATTTCCTTGATCACGCGGGCAAAGTTGCTTCGATGTTCGTTAATAGATGGTGATGAACTATTTTTTTCAATAAATTGAGTGCATTTTACCATACTCAAAAATTCTTTTGGTTAAAAACTTTATGTAGCACGGAACTGTGGACTTTTCACGTGACTTTTCACGTTTCACTATATCATTTTGTTGAGATGTTATCCGATATCTAGCAAAGTACAGGAAATTGAAGTCTTATCGTTATCGGGTTACGGATGATCCAATTTACTTCATCAATTCAAGTGTGAACTTCAGTGTCTTTTACTCGCCTTTCAGTTTTTCAGTCGACTTTATTTTTGGGCCTTTTATTTTTAAATACATTTTACCTTTAAACTGAGTTGTGACGCTGTTTTTGTTCTTTCGTAAATGAGAAGTGATTTTCAGATAATGGGTAATGAATGTTCGTTACCATTAATTTATGTTTTTAATTAATAATTTTGTAGGTTCAGTTCCCATTCCAGTATTTTTGTGACCTAATACTAAGAGTTTTTGATTTTCAAATTTGTATAGACAAATCATTCTACTCCCACATTACTATAATATTTTTAAAATAACTTTTCAAAGGGAAAGTATTTACACAAAGGTATAAAAAAGAAAACGATCTGTAATGCATTATGAAATATCAACAGATAGTGATATTCACGTGTTATAATTATTTAATCCTCTTGTCACATGAAAATTTTAAAGTTTTCTTAGGATTAAGTTTTTGTGTTTGTGTGATAAGTTTTACATTTTATAATATTTTTCTGTTGCGTCATGCTTACTACCTTTCTCAATTGCGCATACGAAGAGGCTCACGAGTAGCATTAGCTGCCTCTTTCTTGTATCTTGTATTAACTGATGTTTTTGCTTTCAGTCCCGAGACTATTAAAGCTTCATCTGACGCAAAACGGTGGGCTAGCCAGAACCCACGGGTTTGGGCCCTCCGCTGTGGGTAGGGCCACGCATGTGCTCATGCGTGCGTTTAAGTATGGTGTGTCAACTAAGGGCCATTGAGGTCGCGGTTTGGACCTAAACCCCGATGGCCGTCGACTGTGCAATTAGCTAATCGCCGCGGTGCACCGCCCCGGAATCGAACCTTGTGTGTAAGCGTTGTGTTGGTCTCCCCGTGCTCTAATGCAAGAAAACAATGGGTGGAATTGAATCTTTGCGAACATTAAAATAATATGTAGAAAAAGTGCGAAAAGATTGTTCGTCTTCGGCATTCGCGGCCTCGGTAGCCACTGAGCTGGCAATCACCGACGAAAATCCGCATTCTTCCACATTGTTTTCTTAGCATTTGAAGCAATCAGTGGCGCCATCTATTGTTATATCCTTTCCAGCGTACAAACATTTCGAATATCGCCGATAATTCGAATGTCGCCATTGCTGAACTTAAATTGTTTATAGTGCGGAATCGCCGCGAATGCCGAAGACGTGGGTTCGATTCCCACAGCGGCGACAATCTTTTCGCACTTTTTCTACATATTTTAATGTGGGTGTAGTGTTATCCGGCGGGTGCATCTTTCTACATTGTTTGTGTAAAAAGATATGAAACCTTGTATAAGAAATATAAGTTGGAATGTTGGACATGAAATATTGAGGCAACATGCGTTTCCGTTAGATATCAAATACACACGAAACTTTAAAGTCCGTTAAAAATTCTCGTTATTTGCCATTATCTACTAAATTGTCCGGTACAGTCCTAAGTGCTAAGTCTGCAGATATACAGCTGAATGTATTAAATTTTAAAAAAAATTAGAGAGACTAATTTGTAATAAATCAATCTTAAAAAGTCCCACTTTCTAACCGCAATTAAGTGTAGAAGATTTCATAATTAAATTTACATTAAAACTGGGAAAATAAATTTAATTTTAGTTCTGATTTTACTTTATCCTTTAATGGAATGGAGTTTTTTTTTAGATCTTACACGTGGTTTTGGGCTTATTCAACAACGTGGATTGATACAGAGGTCGCTAAAGTATACGGGTTAGAAGGTATTGTTGATATTTAAGGAATTGTAAGAAGATAATTTTTAAGACATACGTATTTGTAAAAGATTCGGCGCACCCAATATATGTATTAGTAAAATTCTATTAGTATTAAATAATTATATATAAATTTAATTGTATTTAAATTATTATATATATTGTATATAAATTGTTAGTAAGTTAACACAGAATAATAGCATTGTAGAAATTATGATATTGTATTTTTGATTCTTTTGCAATCCATATCAAGCAGCAATGTTATCACCGAATCAATTACTGAACGTTATTTAATGAATAAATTTATTTATTTATTTATTTGCACACTTTTTTGTACTAACTGGTATAAACGGCGCGCTTAATGCCATAAGGCATTTTCTACCAGCCAACCGGAAAGTTAGTGAGAGAGGTGTAGGTGCTAGCTATATAAGGATTATATAATATGTATACATACATTATGATAACAATTATTAAGCACTTACAATAATAAATACATCTATATTTAAATAAATACTATTATAATTGGTATATATATATATGTATGTATTCTATATATATATATATATGTGTATTCTATATATATATATATATATATATATATAAGATAAATTTTTATAACAGACAATAACCACCATAGACATTGCGAATAACCATAATAGTATACGGTTATTATTATTTCAGATTGTGAAATTCGAAATAGTGCATATTTTTAATATGCAATATTTCGAAATGCGCGCTATTTCGAATTTCACAGTGTAATATTCGAAATTTGAATTCATTACATATTTTAATGGCCATCATTCTAAATTCAAAAATTGTCATTATGTGACAGAAACCATGACCGGACTAGGTATGTGAATGATAATATCTGTCTGTCTGTCTGTCTGTCCGTCTATGACCAGGCTATATCAAATGAATCAGGATAGTAAGACAATTGAAATTTTCACAGATGATGTATTGTAGCCAATATAACAAAAAATACTAAAAAACAGAATGAAAAAAAAAAGTTTTTTATAGGGCTTATTTCTGCACTTAAGATTAAACATTAAAAGTTCGTCGGTGTGGCAATCAGCCGTTTAGCTTAGTGGCTAAACCGTCAGGCCCCGAATTCCGAACACGTGGGTTCGATTCCCACAGCGGTGACAATTTTTTCATACTATTTCTACAAGTTTTAATGTTTAATCTTAAGTGCAGAGATTAACACTATAAAAATTTCTAAAAAATTAATGGCGACATCTGTCGTTCGAAGTTATCATTGTAGAACGATATTAGAAATTGTATGCTGGAAAGGATATAACATTAGATGCGCCAAGTATTGCTTCAAATGCTAAATAATTATGTAGATAAGAAATGTTAAGATTTTCGTCGGTGTGGCAATCAGCCGTTTAGCTTGTGGCTAAAGCGTAAGGCTGCGAATGCCGAAGACTTGGGTTCGATTCTCACAGTGGCGACAAACTTTTCGTATTTTTCTACAACAGATATGATTCTTTTTTGCTATTTTTATAAATAACGGTACGGAACCCTTCGTGCGCAAATCCGACTCGCGCTTGGGCGGTTTTTTACTTCTTAATCATTCATGTTTAATATTGTGAACGCCCACGTGCAAGTTAGTTACCTATTATCTCATTCATTCATTTATTACTTACCTATTTTAATCATGAACTGTTGTAAGATCTGTTAGTGGTCGCCAAACAATTTGACAAACAAAAAGACAATGTGATAAATGTGAACAAATAAAAATTTTCCATTTAACCACCTTTGGTAAGGAACGTAAAAGTTTTCAGTATCTCCGCGCGCCGAAACTAACCCAGCGGCGGCGGGTTCCGTAGCCCGGTCCGTTGTGCGATACTCCAACGCGGCAGTAGACGGCGAGGCGCCGTTCGGATCGCCCACCAGTTGAGCGTGCCGAAGAGTTCAAGTTCGCACCACATCGCTTTCAGTAAACAGCTCGACTGAGGCGCGGAGTTCGGCTTACGCGCGTGCGGTTGTGGCGATTTAATCAACATTCCATTGTATGTAGAGCACCAACATTTTCACGTCAAAAACTTTAACCCGAGATTTATGTAAAAGTATTATTTTATTAAGAAACATAATTGACACACACGTGAAAAAGAAAGATTATAAGATTTTCTTGACTTAATCCGGAACGTCGACGCACAAAGTTTGTTGGGGTAAGTAAGCTTACTTAATACGCTCGTAAATATTTGTTCATTGACGAAGTTGCTTAACCATAACTAAATATTATAGGAAAACTCCTTGATACTGTTTGACAAACTATTAAAGTAAATCTTCCTATAAATTTGATATAAAACCAGTATTTTAAGGAGCTTTTATTAGCTATGACCATACGAATGTTCTACGCAAAGCATAAGCGAACAGTAATTGCAATAAAATACTTTATGATATAAGTTTTTTAACTCTTTTACGAAGAATGAAATCATTTTACGGGGCTCATAATATTTTATTTTATTACACTAGAAATTTAATCAAGCAATAAAAGTTTACTGTGTTTTTTTTTTTGCGAAACTAATTTAATAAAACCTTTAATAATTGTGAACTGATAAAAATAGCAACATGTTTTAAAAAAGAGGTATCAGATTAAAAAAAAAACTTGAGAAGAAGGTATTGAAATCAACTATATGTCCCTTCTTTTCTATAATAAGAAATTAGTATCATCTTTTACCACGACGAACTAAAATATTATTTCTTGATTATTGGATTAGAGGAAGCTTATCATGTTTATGTGGACATGGAATGTTTGTAGCTAAAATCGCCATTGATATCTGACATTCATCATAAGTAACTAATCGTGCTTTTGCGTACTTCATAATATAATAATAGTTATTTATTTCATGTTTATATAATAATTTAAATTTAATACAGTTTTTACTATAGTAAAACTTCAGTTAGGTACGTATTCCGACAAACTATCAAAATAGTAGAATATTCTTTCAACGTTGAAGATTTGTTTATTTTTATTAATTTAGGCTATCATTCATCCATAAACTTAAGTTTAATATAAAAGCATTCAAATTACTATCAAGACAGAGACATCACAAAATCATCATAGTTTCATTTAAATAAGTAAAATTAGATAAATAGTTTATATAATATTAAAAAACTAATGTTAAATGTGATAATGTAATTCAAAATTAAAAATGCAGGCGTATCGATGGAACTACAAATTATTTACCCTTTATGAAATTAAAACTTCTCTTTAAAGTTATTTGATATGATATCATGCTATTATTTGGCGGTGAGATGGACACATAAAAACCAGAACTCTATTTAAGTAGCGATTTTTCAGCGGCAATAGATACACTAAAGCAGAATAATCGCCCCAAAAATGCGTTTCCTAAGTAATGTATGAAGATTAAAGGACAGTAATGGGATAACGAATTCAGTGATACGACAAAATGTAGGAAAAAATTTGTTGCGGTGATATAATTTCGTCAAGATTTCAATAATAATATCATCTTGTTTATTCAATGTGTATGGGACAAATACGTCTTGCAAATAAAAATTAAGGCAAGGGCAAAGGCGGTATAGTAAATGGAAGCGTCTAGAAGAAAGCTAAACAAATCAGTGTCATTTGAAAGAGTGTTGAAAGCGAAACGGGAAGAATAAAAGAACATTAATTAAACAAAATATTGATGTATCTAATGCGATCAAGGCGTGACAGGTTCAAGCAGAGTGGAAAAAAAAAAATAAGAAGTATGTTCGTTGTCCACATAAATTAAAAATCGTCAGTCCTTGCACATGAAAAATTTCTGCTTATTCATTTTATTTTTTCTTTATTTAACAATTTATCTACACAGTCTATACAAATAACATAATTATTTCTTAAGAAATTTCTTCCAGCAGAGCCGCGACTGGAAATTGTTGTCACAAATGGTAGTTCATGGTGTAATAATAATATTTTTTTAATGTGAGGAAGTGGCAAACGAGCTGGTGGTACACCTGATGTTAAGTGATAACCGCCTGCCTATGGACATTTGCAATCCCCGTAGGTTTACAGATGCGTTGCCATCTCTTAATAATGTGGGCCCCGACGACCTCACTCACCAGACGAACCGTAGAAGTGCAACACTTCTACTTTACGCCGGTCTTCTGTGAGGTCGTGATACTAACCCGGACGGACCTGCCCATTCGTGCAACAGCGAACAATTTTGCGTGGCCCTACCACCGTTAAATATAATAATTATAATACATGTTTGTTTAATAATTTTAAATATAATATCAATATAAAACAACAACATATATAAATTTGTTACTTATTTGTTTTATCCTACATTTTGTGCATTTTAATCAAGTATCAGTTTTAATTCTAAGTCCATAAGAGAAGTTGGAAAAGAGATGGTAGCAGTTATCCCCGCCCTCTCCAGACATTTACCGGTAGGGTTGTGCTTGCGGTGTAACTTGATGAGACGCAACACTAAACATACTTCTACTTCAGCCCAGTTTTCTGTAAAGCCAATTACTATCCTATGTTTAAAAAAAACTCTGTTTTAAAGGAATACTTTATTTGAGCAAGGTTGGTGATGATGTTCATATGTACTCGTATCATATTTTATAAGGGAGAATGTTTATGGTTTCTCTTAAAATGAATCTACTTTTTTCTATTTATACCTAAATGTCATAGAAAGACAAAGATAACATGTATTTAGTAGAATATATAAAGTAGAATACATTAAGCTCTTTGCGTCTTTAATAAAAAAAAAAAAAACTAGCGACCCGCCCCGGCTTCGCACGGATGAAATGTATTATGCATAGTCAAAGTCAAAGTCAAAGTCAAAGTATATTTATTCAATATAGGCCTAACTTAAGCTCTTATTGAACGTCAACAAAAATCTACCACCGGTTCACTAAACTAGACCTGCACAGAGAAGAACCGGCAAGAAACTCTGCGGTCTTGTTCTTTTTGTAATATATATATTTTTTTTTTTTTTTTTTTAATGCAATTATACACACTTATTTGGTATAAAAATCAGCAGCAGCCAGGGGTCTTGCAAGTGCAGAGCAAGAGTCATTTCCAAACATCCTTGTCCTCTATGTATTCTTGGATATTATAATAAGCCCTTGCCATTAAGGTAGCTTTTACAAATTGTTTGAAATTGTTTATACTTAGTTGTTTGTGGATGTCACCTATTTTATTATAAAAGTTGATGCATCTTCCAAGAAACGACTTTCTGGTTTTAGCTAATCTAAACCTCGGTACTTCCAGAGTGTCACCACGGCCCCGACGCGATGTGGATTGTTTTTTCGTAAATAGGTCGATATTATTACGTACATACATGATGTTCTCAAGTATGTAAAGCGACGGGAGCGTCAAGACCGTTTATTTGCTTAAATGTATGTCGTAGCGACTCACGTGGACCCAAGCCATAGACGGCCCATATAGCCTGCTTTTGTAATACAAATATTGTGTCTAGACCGGATGCGGAACCCCAAAGTAAGACACCATAGGAACCATATAAACCTTCCTCTTGAATCACTCTATCTAGTTAAACGCATCAAGATCTTTGCGAAGTTTCAAAGATCTAAGCATACATAGGGACAGACAGACAGCGGGGCGCCTTTGTTTTATACTATGTAGTGATCAATAAGGTAAAATGTGTTTTAAAAACAATCAATATATGTGAATATTTACCGTGGTCTAATTTAGCTTAGGCAAAATCTACAGCAAAATTCTATCTAGACAATATAAAACAGACCCGACCTTAGTGACATTCAATCTAACTTAAGCGGGAAAGAGTATTACAGAAACCGATACAAAACCAGATGGTGGCTTAATTCCTATGAACGTAGAGATAATTGAATTCCTCCGAACTCAATTTTCTCTAGAATACATTAAGATCAACTTGTCATGGTACTAATAGTATGGATACAAATCGTATGAGCGATTATGCGTAAGCTAAAGGGTTTTGAAAATACATACAAATATTAAAGTTCGCTAATGGTATTAAGTATTAAGAGTTGGCAGTTTACCTGATGAAAAGTGATAACCGTTGAAAGCGATTTGTACCGGATCCAATTGTATAAGTACTAGACATATGGTGCCATAGCCGAAATATTTTAAAATAATACTAGTTGCAATGCTTGTGAATTTTTTATAAACTAATTTTCAGTTTATTGCGGAATACCGGATGGAATTTAACAAGTAATTCGCTTCGGAGTTATAACTGTTTAAGAATGCATACAGTGACGAAGATAAACGAACGCTGCCAAGGTGGTCTGCGGTTTTGGCTCAGACAAAACCAAGGCAGGATTTATACTGTGAATGAGTAAAGTGACAGTGAAAGTTGAAGAAACACTAATTGCATATTATATTTCAAAATTAAGGCTTAATTCTCACATCTCTTAATTAAAATAGACATTCATATTTCTGCGGCGCATCTAAGATTTCAAATTTTCAAATCGGTCATTAAGTATCTCTTAGGGCTCGTTTCTTCATAAAGTTCAGAAGATTTATTAAGTTTTTGACAGTTTCATGTTTGATATTTGATTACAAAACGTTCTAAACAAAATGAAATCTGTCGGATGAAGTCTTCATTTAAACATCCTTTATCATATTGAAACTTCAGTTAACAATACTTTTCAACGTATGAACTTCAGATATTGATAGAAATCATAGACAAAGAAGACGTAGAATTTTATTTTTTTAAACAAAATCCCCATGTATTTAATGAAGTGAAAATTTAATCGCAATGCACGTCTCGTTCATTAAGGCCCTGAACGTGACAGTGGGTAACCTAGCTGATATATAACATAATATTGCGCGTTGGGCATAAGAAATTTTAAACGCGGGAATTCATTTATTTACGATTTAGATTAAGGAGCCCTCCGGTCTCAAATAGAAAGTGGCCGGCCCCAACCACTAAGTCATTATTGTCACATGTCACCTAAAATAACATAATTCAATTTAGAAGGGACAGATGGTTTGACTAGAGGCTGGTATTCAAAAGTGTGCGTTTGTTTACTAAAGTCACGGTCTTTCATATTGAAT